ATTTCACTGTGCCTCCTAGGGAATGTATTGAGGATTTATTGTGACCGATAACTTAATGGGAGGCAACTCCTAAGGAGCGAGGTGTGGTACCCATCGACACACGTCCTCAGCCTTCTCCAGCAGGCACGGGTAAGAACAGGGTAAAAACCCGTGCCTGCAACCGCCCAGGCTCCAGCGCGACAGCTAATCCCCGCACGGCCAGGGCTGACCTCCACCATCCCCGTACCTCCTTTAGGAGTGGTGTCCGTTTTTCCCTTTTCTCGGTGCATCAGCGCAGCAATCCAGCGGGCACGGTCACTCCTGGCAGAGGGAGAGCCCGTGTTACAAAGAAAGCCTTAGGGACAGCATCCCTGTTGCTGGCAGCAGCTGGGAAACCCCCAGCAGGATGAGGGCTGTCAAGGGAAGTCGGACTGGACAAGTATTTGATCAGAGCATTCCATGTAAAGATACTTCACAAGCAGTACACATCACCCATCCGCTTCACTTAATTTGCACAGGGGAAGCATTATATGGGAATTATACGGGAAACCTAAAAGAGAGGAGGAAACAGCAAGGGGAGAAGCCCATGTAGGTGCCCCTTCCTGGGAGGAGGAGCAGGGAGGGAAAGGATGCTTCACAGACGCCTCAAGGGGATTTCCAGCACCCCAGTATATCCCGCAAGCAAGAACGCACACCCTGTGAAATCCCAGTGAGCCACTCACAGCGTCTCTGCCGACAGCACAATCTCCTCCCGCCGACCCTCACTGTCCTTCTCCATCACCACCCGGAGCAGGTGCCCACCGCCCACGCCACGAGCCGTGCCACCGCTGCCTGTCTTGGCAGGAGGAGGGGAAGGCGGGTCCATGTTCTCGATCTTCTCCACCGTGACCTGGTCCAGCGTGGCGTAGTTCATGACAGTGTAGCTCTCCTCGCTGCGGCAAAGACGGGATTGGCACCTCAGCCACGCGCAGCCGCAGAGCGGATGCTGCCGGCGGGGACCGAGCCGCTTCCCGGAGGTGGAGTTGAGTGGGCACCACCGAGGTGACCATCACGGTGAGGACACGAGCTGATGCCCAAGGGGGTGGGACAGGGCGCTGCGGACTTGCCAACCACCCACAAAGAGGAGCGAGGCCAAGGGCTGTGGAGCTGGGCGCTTCCCTTCTGGCCAACACAGGACACCTCAATAAAGGTCCAAACAGGGGAATCTTGAGAATTGTTTGGGCTACGTGCCGCTTGGGAAACTGAGATTTTAA